TCAGATCTGCTTCACAACTCAAGGCCTCAAACGCCGATCAAGGCCCCCAGCCGAGCGTGGAGTGTCTGCACCAGCTCGGTGCCCTGAAGACCCCGCACGAGCCGGGCAATACGGATGGCCTTCTCGGCCCAACGCTGGCAATCCGCGTCCCGTGTGGCGCGGTAGAAGTCAGTAGCGGCGTTGAAAGCCGCACTGGCAATGTGGATCAATTCCGCAGCTGGGTAGGTAAAACCCTCGGAAAAATACAGATCCTGCATTTCACTGTAACCAGGTTCGCCACCGCCTGGCACCTCGCTTGCCATTGCGAGGATTCTATCCAGAACACCTTCAGCAACCTCGGCGTCGGCCATATCGATATCGAAAAAGCCCATTGCAGGGTCAATGTCTCCGATTGGTTTGATAGCCAGAGCGAATAGACAATGGAGGTAGCGAGGCAAGGAAATACGGAAATCACGTCGCCATGTGGTAGGGGGATCGATCGGTTGCTCGCTGAGTTTTGCCATGATGCGCTATATGGATGTCAGTAGTTGTTCAGGGAATGAAGTCTCACATCCAAACATACCTTGATGACCTCGATCGCTAATCTGGGTGGTAGGTCAAAATAGAAAGTCATATCCATGATTTGTGTATGAAACTTCGATTTGGGGAATTCGTCGTCGGATGCACAAATTCTGGCGACATCCTCCCAGTTTCGGAGACACATGGCAGCCTCAAGATCAAAGAATTGCGCAATTTCATGGTGCATGTCTTCTTTCTTATTCGTGTGGTCATCTAACTGTTCTTCGCCGTCGCACCAGCCATGCAAGCTATTAAGTTCCTGAGCATAGGCGCGTACGTTCTCGTACAGGACCATCTGCCGATGTCAGTATGGTAAACATGACCTATGCTGGTATAAAAACTGTCGAAACCAACCTTTTCAGTCTGATCGGTTGCACGGCGGGCCTTGAAGGTTGTAGCAAGAATAAGGAGGTAGTAAACCGCAAATAAGTGTGGTCTCGGTGCTCCGGAACCCATCTTAGGGTATGCAATCTCACGATATTGAAGCGCGAACTAGAAAATTTTCAGTAAGTACGGCTGAACACACAATCTGCATGGATTTAGAACAGACGTCTTTGGAGAAATTCAAGACAGGAACAGTCAACGAGACCCCGGGAGAACGCATTAGTCCCAAAGCAAGTTTGTAAGTCGCAGAATAAAACCATTGCAGTTGAGTGGCTGAGACCTGCTTGTCACCACCTTCGAACGTGCTGTTCTTCTTCGCATAAGACAGTGCTACTGAACAGTCAGCATCAAAAATTGCTATAGTTCGAGGGGTAAACGCACCACTCTGGAGTACAGTCTGGATACAGTTGCCAAGTCTCTGGCTAAAGCCTCTGGAGACCTCTTTGAGAAGAATAATAATTGCGAACCTGTTTAGGGTAGCTGAGTTAGTCTTGTGGATAAAGACACGGATTTGAAGCATTCTCACATGTGATGTTCAGCGGCGGAAAAGTCATCATGATAGATGTCGTCTGAAGTCAAACAACTGATGAATTGTTCAAGGCAGTTCAGTACTTCTTTTTGTTTCCTTTGTCTCTGAGCTTCCATTGCGCATGATAGGAGACTAATTTGCTTGTGTGGCACGGGGTGCAGTGGAAAGCCGAGAAAGAAATGCCCTTGGAATAGTTAGAGTAGGCCAGAAGTGTTTGACGTTCCATAAATTATTCATACCAGCGCCGTCTTTCCCCTCCAGCAAGGTCAATTTATAGGACAAGTACATCCTTCCACAATCCACCTGGCTTTGGACTAGACCCCGGTCCATTAGCTGTCGAGCAGGGTTAAGGTCTTCAGTATGTAGATAAAATGCTAGCAGCCTCCTGGATAGATGTTAGCCCACGACGCAAGTTGAACCTCAATTTTGTTCCACTGACTTATGAATCGCAACTTGGACATATTGGCTGCAGTTCTGGAATATCTTCGAATCACTGCAGAGCTGAAGCCACAGATGTGCAGACCGGTAGTCTTTCTTGAGAATTGCCTCGCCAGTCATTTTCCAGATACACTATATAATCAGTCAGCTGTTTTTTTTTTTTTTTTTGACCGTGATGAGGTCTTGTCTCACAATCACGATAGCGTGAGCTGCGCGGGTCCTAATGGGTGGTATTCCACGTCGCCCAAGTGCTTCCATTATACCCTGGAATTTGGAAGCGCGCATATATTCAGTGCATACCGATCTGCTCAGCAGTAGCGTAAAAGCAACGAGGCATTTTTCGGTCCACTCTCCCGCTGGCAGAGGGCTTATGAGCAACAATCGAAGTGCTTCCATGCTGTTCTCCGGACCACTATACAGCTGTTAGCAAATTCCTCATCAACCAGCTGTATCAATGTACCTTGCGTTCCCCAGAGAACGGGCGTATTGGAAAATTCTAGATCATCTGTCAGCATCCGTGAAAAAGTCTAGATTGATACTGGTGAGATAACTCACATCGGCATGTTCATAGCTGTGAGGGTCATTTTGTCTACCACACTCGACAGAGCTACGATAATATGGTTAATTCAAGTCCATTCAAGGCAAATATCAGTCATACCTTGAAGTCGTCCGTCTTTGGGAGGGTTGTGGTCCATGAAGAGATCAAGAAGGACCACAGCAGGGTGCCCTGGGTAAGCCTAAAAAGGTCAACTTCAAGTCCAGTACACTCATCACAAAACATACATGTCTTAAGTTGATCATTTCAATATCGTACGTGGCGTTGAACTCGGAGCTTCTTGTTTGAACACAAGCCACAGCTGTTGCATGTTAGTCCTGGTCATCAATTTGATTAAACCACTCACCAATGGAATGCCGGATAACTAGGTTCCAGTTATGGTAATTTTGATATTGGAAGTGAGTCTTGTGGTACAAGGCCTCCAAGTAATCACTCGCTCTTTGCAGCCATTTGACTGCGACATCACCCTGGACCTGCATGAGTGCAGAGTCGCCAATGATAAAACAATTTTCGAAAATAAACTCTCCATTTTCCGCCAATTCAGGCACTGGAATTTTGGCAAAGAAATACTCGGAGATATCGGGTCGGTGCTGTAGCCAGCTCTGGAATAATATGTCAGTTCTGGTGTTGAGAGACAAAACAGTGTTTGACAACACGACTCACCAGTCGAGCACGAAGCAAGTTGTATTGGGTGGTTAGAGCGCGCTTAAGACCAGGATCAAGCCCAGCCTCAAGTTCAGAAGAGTGGAAACCTTCCAGTCTCATAGCTGCAACTCGCAAGATATTCAGCGCAATATCGCGTTGCTCGTTCACTATGCTTGTTAGATCGGACAAGGTTACCAATGGGGATATGGGATGATGTACTAATGCAACGGAGGGCCGCCTTGAGGGCCAGACTGAGAGATCTGAGACTCCCTGTAAAAGGTCAGATAAGCTCACTTCAATATACACTAGGGACCATAAAAACCTAGGATGTCAGGCAACACAGCCATATTCAACAAGGCAAACGCGAAGGCCTTCACTTTGCTGAGCAAAAGCACATCGTCCCGATTATGACCACGCGACACAATCAGCTCGTTGCAGTCATTCCACAGCGATGTGCCAACCACATCCAGCTGGTCGTTACCTGATTCTGGTTGGGTGGTAAACGGGTTTATGTTGAGCTGCTCATCCAGATAGAGGATGTCATTGGGAGAAAGAAGAGGGTTAGTTAGAGGACCCGCTATGAATAATTTCGTGTGTAGACTGGAAGCAAAGTCTAAGGCAGAAGAATTTGATGGTTAGCTGCTGTACATAGCGGGCGACACAATATGAGGCTCATACTTGACAGGGCCTGGTGTGGCCCGGATGGTTGTTGCTCTTCCATTTGGAAGACAGAGGGAGAAAATGATGGAAAAGAGAGTCAAGATGAGATAAAAAAGTTGAATCAAGATTGATGAAGGAATTAAGAAAAGACAAAGAAGGGAGTGAGATGGGAGATGGTTGGAGTTGGTTGGAGTTGGAAGAGTGTGGAGGGATGAAAGAGACGACTGAGTCGTGAAGGCAGCGATGAAACACCAGGTGCGCGTGTGGTCTCGTCGCCATAGCAAATTTGGAACATTGCACTCTACTCAGATAGTTATTCTTTTACTCCCAAGACAACATTGGACTAAAAAATATACTATTTGTGTTATACACATAAATCAAGCACTATACATTTTTTTCTGTGAGACAGCCAAAACATGGGGAATCACTATACCCAAAGATAATACCAAAAGAAAAGTCCCTGCGTGACATGATATAAATAACAGTCTACCAAAAAAGTACTATTTATCGATGGGGAGGAAGTTCCCAACGATGAGAGACGGGCTGCACAATGTTAGTTCCGGGACACCATCTAGTGGACAAGTAGAAGTGAACACTCACATGTTGTGGTTATCTCGTCTAATCGTAAAAGAGAAGCAGCAGGTGATACCATCACCTGTTGAGTTAGGATTAGGACTCTTTAGCGTGCAACTAGTGAGCATGGCCTTTTGGGTATTGTCGAAAGCGATAGCGCCGAACTTTTCCCAATAGCTGACAAGCTGATCTTCGACAATGATCTCGTGGATAGCAAGTTTGCCCTACATAGAGTAAGCACATGTCAGTTGGATGTGGTATGACCTGGGTAGTCTCCGGGTTTAAGACTTACATCTCGCAGACCCTCCACCGGGACATCAATCAGCTGTGCCATCTCATTGTTCCCTCGGAAGATCTCGCCCGTTCGACGCCAGCAGCAGGCCGGGATAGCCATACTGGCAAAGACACGGTCGTACTCCATAAGGCTCCGCTCGAACCACATCTCCACCAAAATCAGTTCGATATCAGTCAAGCTCTGCATGCGTTCTCGGAACTTGGGCCGGAACTTGTCGAGCTGTCGCAGAATCTTTTGGCGAGATATTTGCTGCATGTTCTTTTCCATGTACTGGTTCAATCGTGCATATCCCTTGACGTAATTGAACGGTTTCAGTAATCCGGCGTCATATTTCGCCTTGAGAAGTTTGTTCATCCGCTCTTCTGGTGGGTCAGTTCCTGCCGGATCGGCAGCAGTCATGTAATATGTTTCCCGGGCTTTGTCATTGCCCACCGTGGACGTTTGTCGATGGATCGAGTCTCCAGGTGGTATTTGGCTCTGTGCTGGCGGCGGTAGTTGTGCTGGAGGAGGCAACCCATTCGGCATCCCCATACCGATCGAGTTCATCAACGATGAATCGGGGTAAATTCCTTGCATATCTTGATTTTGGAACATCGCCCCGTCGTCCAAAAGACTGTTGCTGAGGAAATCCCCAAGCAGATTATACTCGTTGGTTACCTCGTGTGCATTAAACATGTAGGATGGGTGGAGAGAATGCATATCCTGGAACTGATTCTGACCACCTACCCAGTCGTTGTATTGCATGACTGTCGTACCATGTCAGCTGAGGCCCGAAGGCAAAAACAGGTTTCTTTGCGAACTCACGATGAGAGTTAGCCTCGAGACCCTGACTTGATGCAGAGAGGTTCGCAGGCGGCACCGTTGAAGGCGGGTTCACAGCCGAGGGTGCAATTCCGATCGTGGTATCAGGGAATGATTGCTGACCAGCAGCATCGGCGACGTCGACACTCCTAGGCATGCTTTGGACAGTTCCCAATTCATTGTTAGACGAGCCCTCGTCGTCTGCAGCGGAATGTTCGTGTTCACTACGTCCCCGTTTTGCAGTTTCCCTTGGCTCATCATGACACAGGTGACCGATATTTCGCTTTATACACCGCGTGCAGGGCCGTTCCTTCATAGATTTAGACAGGTCAGCTGGTGCAATTTATTTTCTGCAAGTCTGTGTTCAGGGTTTCAGATGCGACGGGTTGCGGACGGGGAAAGGGGAGAGAGAGGCGTCGTACCGAGTCGCAGGTCATATGCTGTCCCACGCGAACAAAAACCTCGTTAGCAAAGCCAGTTCTTCGAATTCATATGCGGTAGCGCTGGCTCATTGCGTATAATGGCCAAGTATAATGACCCAAGAGGTAAACTTACTGAGCGGCGGCAGTATACACAGGCTGCAATTGCGGGAAACACTCATTAGCGATGTTCTTATCGTTATGCGCAGAATCGGCCGTGCCCAAATCCCTGTCGCATGCTGCGCAACGGCTCCTTACCGTGATTCACCTTCCGGCGCTTCTTAGGACTGGAATGACTCCCCGAGCCGGTTTCGGCTTTGGCTGCAGTTGAGCCTTTGACGCTCGTATCCTTCCCTGCATCAGACCTAGATTTTGTCGCATTGGAAGCGCCTAGCGGCGCATTCTTTTCGGTCATTGCGCAAGAGTATATAGTGAGAACCACCAGGGCCGGAGCTAAATGGCTGCCTGCAGACCAGTTGGTAGTTGTTAAACGTCAAAAAAAAGTTCTAAAGTTGGGGATGGAGAAAGCGGAGTCACCCCTCCGAACTGCTCCGCATGGGGTTGGCTGTTTGGGCACACGCCACTTTTTGGGGCGAGACCTCGGTCAAGGAATTACTTCTATTCTAACAATAGTATGGATTTTAATTGAAACTACATTATGTACAAGGTAGACTCGTGTTTTATTGTTTTCAACTGTCTTCTTTTTGTACATGCGGTGGAGCCTCGGATTGTCTGATGTAGGACTTCGCAGCTTGGACCAGGTGCGCATGATATACTCTCCTAATTTAGGATATTTTACCCCTGCAGTAGGATATCCTATTCTGATGAGAGTGTTCAATTGTGCCCAGTTCCATATGCAGATATTCAATGCATTGGCATGCGATCACGCGACAAGGATTGCCTACGTAAATTCCTGATCGCCAAGCTCGGTCGGTACTTGGCTTGTCGGTTTTTAATAAGCGCGTCCTGAGCCCGAGGCCCTTCATGTGTCAATACCCATGAAACTATCAGGATTGGTGGCTTGTGTGTAATAATGTCCAGGGGGGAATGGGGCGATCAGTCCTTGGACATCGAGTATAGATCCAAGGCAGCCTGTGAACGAGTAATGGCGTCCCCGAGTCCTGCAAAGGGGGCGGTGTTGCTTTGCATAGATTGAAGATGGCCATGTAGTTGTTTCATAAGTCCTTTGACTTCGGGGTCGGTGTCCAACTAAAATACACAACGATGGTAAGTTAACAGAGTACGCATAGTTCACAAGCAGTTCCATACCTCATCTAGTGTCACTTGGCTTTCTTTAGCCCCGAGAAGCGTGAACTCAGAGGACCCAGAAGCCTCGGTTTGAGGAAGTGTATCCAACTGTCTGAGCACGGGGTGTTCCTACAGTCGTAACATATTAGCCCGTCACACTTGGAAGCGAGGTGGATTTTGCTGCATACATTTTTAGTCTGTCGTTTCCTTTCAGCCTCGGCCCGTTTGGCATTCTTATCCATTTCCTGCAGCGACTTCGTTTCTGCAGCAAGGAGCGCTTCTTCTTTTGCAATCTCGGCTTTTAGTAGATCAACACTATCATTCATCGTAGCTAATTGGCCCTCGAGCGAGCGCTAAACTTATTAGTACGGACTTGTTGATAATGGCAGAGGGTCACGTACGTGCTCATTCAGCGCAGATTCATAGTCGAAGTTGAATTCCTTCGTTATGGGCGGAAACGGCATTCGCGGGAGTCGTTTTCCTAAACTAAACGGAGTATATGGTTAGTACCATCAAGACAGTAGCTCGGAAGCTAGAAGACTGAGTCCTACTTTCGCACAACCGCTTGCACGGCGCCCTGCGCCTCAATGCGCTTGCGCTCATTTTGATTTCGCATTATCACCGGTCGTTCGAGGGAGTGGAACATGTCCTTGACCTTTTCCTGAACAGGTTCCGGTAGAGGGGCCCATTTCGATTTGATGGTCTTCTCTGGAACGCGACGGACATGTGGTTTGAGATAGGCGTAATTAGAGTCATCATGGGTATCGTCCGTGTGTTTTCGTTTTGGAGGCATAATGAGTTCAATGTTGTAAGGTCGAGAGGCCCACAATTAAAGTTACGTCGCGTCTTCACAGGCAAAACAGAGCGGTGGAGACGAAAATAGATCCATCCGGTAGTCTTGGCCTTGACATATTCATACTATACTCCCTAACTACATATGAATGTAGTATTCAAATGTTTTAAATTGAAACATCCCTGTTCAAATGTCTTGTAGTCTACATCAAGTCTGAACCTATGCTAGACGGCAGCATCGCTTTTTCAGGTCAATAAATCTCTTCATAAGCTACAGAAACATACATCTTAACATACAAGCGAAAACAATTAAAAAAAAAAAAATACTCAAACAATGTTCTGCCAATACTCCGTACAGGCCTTTCGAGTTATGCACTAGGGTATCGATGTTTGCCGACCAGCCGAAAAGTGACTTGTATCACAGCGGGTAGATGGGGGAAAAGAAGACGGAGAACAAAGAGTATGTAGATAAAATATGCAGAGGGAAAAAAAAATTGGTATCTTGTGACCCAGATCTGCGAAGATGATATGCCAACTCGGCATGCATACACAAAACTGTCCATCCGCTGAAACGCTTGAAATCCCCGCGAACAAAAGAGGCAGGGACTATCCATGAGATCATAAAGGCTATCATATTGTCACAGAGGGTATCATCGCGGCATCACCAAGCCATTGATTCCCTTCAATTCACGCAGCTGGCTTTGGAGTATATCATTTCCCTGGAGAAGATCTTCAAGCCAGTCAGCGGCTCCAGTGAGCATGGCGCTTTTGCTAAACCCGCCGCCTCTGAGTGCAGGTACTAGGGTGCACAAGTCTTCAAAGCCTTGGCGAATGAGATTTCGGCGTTTCTGCTCCGAAAGGATATGGTTGGTCCGTTTTTGCTCTTCGGTGAGATTCTCTCGTGCAGCTTTGGACCCTGGCTGTAGTCGGGGTTTTCTAGGAATTTCCGTCGACACCCGTCGGCCTCTACTGATAGATCCTCTAGACTTTCTTGAATGAGGTCGTGCATCATCGTCATCGGAGTATTCATCGACTTCCTCTTTCATGGCTCGCTGCCGTTTTCGAGGATGTAAGCTCTCATCTAGGACAGCACTACCCCGGAAGGGAAGTTGTTGAGGGGGAGCCCCAGGCATGTACTCTGGAGTAGGTGCTCGCGTGTTTGCTGCACTGCTTTGGGGTTCCAAGCATCCGAGATTATCGAGCATGTCATTTGTTCGTTGTTCCTCATCAGGCTGGTCAGGTGGACGAAGATAGCCTTGGTCCATGAAACTAGCATCTGAGCCCCAACGCAAACTGCGGGCCTTTCTTGATGGATGCTGGTCCACAGGAATAGGGTCACGGACATCAAAAAACATCTCTGAGGTATGATATCCAGCCGGAATATCCGCCCGAGGTGGAGATGAATTTGGGCGTGCAGTATGGCCAGTATGTGAATTATTTCGTTGTGCCCCATGAATGGGGAGAGATTGTCCTGGGAATGCTTGATGTGCTAGCGTGGATCCTAGCTCTGATCCGTTCAGACCAGTATGGTAAAGCATGGAGGCTGCGGCGAATATATCCGAGCTTGTAGGGTTGCTTGTCGTCATGGTGCCGGTCGTTTTGCCTGGCCCATGCTGCGGAAATGAAGGCTGCGAGAGTGAGGTGGTTGAGCCCTCGAAGTTGGGTGGCAGCTCAGCTGACCAGTCAAAGCTGGGTACCCCGGGTTTATGTTCTTGTCGCATCCAGAAATCATTCGTAAAGTGGTTTGCGTTCATGGTAGTAAAGAAATTGTCGAGCATATTGGATTCGTTATCATCAAGAAGAGAAGGCCCCGGTGGCAAAGCAGGTGCCTGTTCAAAGGGGGTGTCCATTGAGGAGAGAAAGGAGTCTCGAATCGGGTTAGAGAGTGAAAAGTACAAAATAATGCCCGGGACAACTCACATCCGAAGGGAGCAGACGGAGGGGATGTACGCTCGGTTTGTACTTCAGTCCCATGCCCATTCATAGTGAAAGAAAAAGTTGAATATCAAGAAGGATTTGTATGCCGGAGTGTCGGTCAAGGACAGGGTTGCTACTCTAATGCCAAGAGTAGCGCGGACCAAGGCTATACTGTCATGCCTTGTGACTCGAATGCAAGATGTATGTGTTCAAGGTGTTCAAGCAGACTCGACTCCACAAAAGAGGGACGCGGGGGGGTCGAGGCCACGGAGGAGGTGTTCTTAATGCGACTCGATAAGGAGCCGGTTCAGTTTGGTGCAATGGGATAGAAATAAGAAGAGCAGATAGAAGTGTAAAGGCCAACTAGAATACTCAAGAGCGTGAAAACAAGAGAGATCCGTCCTGTAGAAGAAGGGGAGTTTCGCATCAAAGCAATCGTCCTATTCGGACAAGGACCTAATCACATGCAAAATTTGACCGCGTGACGTAACAGTACGAAAATTACCGAAATTACCGCAATTCCGGTGTGGCTTAAAATGTACCCTCGGTATTTTAGTACGTTCCTGGGGAGAGCTGGAGACTTCTATAGAACACTCCTGAGACCTTGAGACTGCAAGTACACTGCAGGTACCTCGTGTTCATTCACTTTCTTTTATTTTATAGGAAACTTCAACGATTCTTCTTCTTTCGGATTGTCCCTCTTGAGATCGTCCTGTATTAATTTTTTTGGGGGTTTTAATTTTAAAAAAAGTCATCCTTGTTCAGTGAAAAAGGGGCCCCGCAATCCCGACTCTCTCGCTCCGAAAGGCCCATTACTTCGGATGATCGTCCTCGGTCTTCTCTTAATCGGTCCCTCCCCCGACTTTGGATCTTATTTGCGGGGACTTTTTCTAAATTTCCACCTTGGGCAAGGGACCGAGGTTCAAGCCTCTTAACTGCCCCCTTAACAAACCATTACACCGGGGATCCACCGTTCAAAAAAACGATCATTCAAGGGTCAAATTTCCAACTACCGGAGAATACTACCCAATTTTCGGGAGGTGCAATTTGTAGGTCACCCACAAAATATATTAAAGCTCTTACACCTCCTGATTTTCTGATTGGTGAAGAGATTCCTGTGAATCCCACCAGAGTTTACAGTGGATTAACCCCTCCTCGCCGATTAGTTCGGGGAACTGTGATGTTGACACCTCCCGACGGATCATGACATGAAGGTTTCCGGCAGCATGGAACCTGCACTCCGGAGACGCCATGGAAGGGACAACGTCCGGATATTCAAGCCGTAAGTCCATGCGATCTGTTACCCTTGTGGCATGGTGCAACTGTGTGATCTCTGAAGACCCATTGCTAATTGTGACTGTAGCCTCCTTCGCGCCTATGCACTTGGGTACCTGTCTTCCGTCACCCCAAAATTGGTGTATTATGTACGCCGTCTACGCAATACGGACTGGACTACGCAACAGAAACTACAAGAGGTATGTTGTGGCATTACCTAGTGTGGACCCTTTTGTTGTGACTTATCATGTCACCATTTTTCTCTGGTCTATCGCGCAAATGAAGTGTTATAGCTGACATCAATTTGAATAGCTAGCTAAAGTCTTCACTGGTCCGTTGCGTCTGAACAGCTTCCCAACAGCTTGTGCTTCCCTGGTCGGTGGCTCAACCCTACTACCAATAGGATTATATCGCCTGTGTGCATTGATCACAGCAGGTCTCTCCAAAGGTGACATTCAGATCTCACAAAAGCTCGACCGCTTAATCAGATTCATCGTCACTTTTCTATCTGGGTGGTTCAGTTTCCAACTGCTCAACAGAAACCGCATCTGTCTACCAATAGAGGATGTCAAAGCTATCCGGGACTCCACAGGTCAAAGAAAAGACCCTGGTCAAATTTTGGCCAATCCGCTGGAACATCACCGCCCGGAGTTAGCAGGGAGGACAATGGACCTCACCATCTACATGGTCACAAGAGCTGTAGATGCGGTCGCGTGTGTTGCATGGGGCCGCTGGTCCCGTCGCCGCCGCGCCCAGAACCGCTGGACGACCGTCGAATCACTCGTTCCTGGGTTTGCCGATGCAGCTGTCTTTGCCACGAGTGCCTCTGTAGTCATGTGGGCATGGTTTTATCTCCCTGAAAGACTTCCCAAATCCTACGAGAAGTGGATCAGGGAAGCTGCTCAGGTCGATTCACGACTAATCGAAGCCTTGCGTCATGTTCGACGAGGAGTCTTCGTTTATGGGAAGGATACAGGCCAGGCACCTCTTCTTCAGTCAATGTGCAAAGATTACAACTGGCCAGAGGTGTGGGGAGACCCAGCAAAGGTAGCCCCGATCCCTTGCGAAATGGTTCACATGGGCTGTGGCCCCAGTTGTGAGAAGCACGCATTGTATCGATTTGCTATAACCTTCAAATTTGCCTGTGCAACCTATATTCCCCTACAAATTGTTTTCCGTCTGCGGAGGATGAAATCTGCAACTGCCCTCCGTCGGGCCCTTTCTGATGCAGCACAATCATCTGCCTTCCTCGCATCTTTTGTGAGCTTATTTTACTACGGCGTATGTCTCGCTCGGACACGACTTGGCCCAAAGATCTTTAATGCAAAGACAGTCACTCCAATGATGTGGGACTCTGGGCTCTGCGTCGGTGCGGGATGTCTCATGTGTGGCTGGAGTATATTGGTTGAAAAGGCGCGGAAGAGACAGGAGTTGGCGCTATTTGTGGCACCCCGGGCTGCCGCCACGGTTTTGCCACGGTTGTATGATAAAAAGGTATGTATCGGACCCTCGCATCCTCTGTCCACAACAAGGTTACACCCACATCCACTCCACCCCCTACTCAATGTCTCCAAATTAGCCTGTGACAGGGTTCCATAACCATCACGAGATGCTGACGTGTGTCGATGTTTCCCAGTATCAATACCGCGAGCGTGTTGCATTTGCTCTTAGCGCTGCTATTCTTATCACTTGCCTCCGCGAACGACCCAGCATGGTACGGGGGGTCTTCGGTCGCATCACATCGAGCGTGTTGAAATAGATTTTTCTTTGAGATGCCCCGAAGGCATCAAACACTTGTATTAGTATTCAGTTATCTTAGACTTCGGGGCTGACTTTTGGGCGCCACTACCCTGCATTATCTTTGAGAACTTTTGTATCCTTAGTCATATATGTATGCATTCAAATTCTCCCTAACCCCCAGTGGGGCCCATTAATACTATGTACAAGATCAAAATATATCCATACCATCAGTGTCGTGATCTGAGGTCAGCTTCTACCAGTAACCTTGGAAAGTAGTCACTGGTTATGCCAACTCCTGGGCAACCCGAGGGGTGGCTGAAGCTTTCAACTTGAGATAATCATGACCTAATTAATTCACATTAACAAATCAGGAAGCAATCCAAAATCTTCACCATGTCTTTCTATTGCTCGCCGTTAGACCTAGGGCTGTCCGTGGACGGCTTAGGGCTTATCGATAAGCCGTTGAGGGCTATCACGTGCTGTGGACACGCTGGATCTCATGCGACTCAACATCTGATCCAATTGAAGTCATAGAACCATGTTTTCACGGTTAATTCCCTCGCTGGGGCGCTCTGCCCTGACGAGTACAATCCCCCAGCGATCAATATGTCTTCGGAAGAGCGTCTTCGAGGTAGAGCGGAGGTATTTCTCGAGGAATTCCCTGCTTCATGAACAACGCAATTCATCTGCCGCGCCTTACAATACCCCAGAATCGCAAAAGCGTAATACCTCTACAATGTGAGCTGCAATTGAGCCCTCACTTGAGGGGTCTATGTGCTAACAAAGCCTACATCAGGTACTATGCCATCAGTCTCATCCTTGGAACGGTTGCCCTCTCATATGGATCTGTCCCTCTTTACAAAATGGTATGCCAGGCGCTCACTTGATCGAGAGTACATTATAAACTGAATCTCATTCTAATCTCAATTGCAGATCTGCCAACAGACCGGTTGGGGCGGTCAGCCGATCCTCACCCACCGAACCGGTGACGGCGATACCTCCGCACGTGTGACACCAGTGACAGATTCTCGTCGTCTGCGCATTACATTCAACGGCTCAGTATCGGATGTACTTCCTTGGAAGTTCACTCCGCAGCAGCGCGAGGTCCGAGTACTACCCGGCGAGACAGCCCTGGCATTCTATACCGCAACAAATAAGGGTCCGACTGATATCATCGGAGTCGCAACATACAGTGTCACTCCAGGCCAAGTTGCTCCGTACTTTAGCAAGATTCAATGCTTCTGCTTTGAGGAGCAGAAACTCAATGCGGGAGAGTCGGTCGATATGCCTGTTTTCTTCTTCATTGATCCCGACTTTGCTACCGATCCTAATATGAAGGGTATCGATACTATTACCCTGTCATATACCTTCTTCAGTAAGTTTTGTGTCTATGCATTGCTTTCTTGGTCTGATCTAACCTAATGCAGAGGCGAAATACGATGACAACGGTGTTCTGACGCCAATCGCCTCATAAGAAGCTCATACCAAAAGCGCATTGGGTATTGTATTTCAGCTGTGTAAGTTTGCATAGACTTGGACATTCAACAGTGGACAAAGAATCATGCGCGGTGTTGTGTCTGGCTTTTTCGCATTTATCTCATCTCTCAACGCAAATTTTGCATGTACTATATAGCTCGGAGTTTGGCGGAAGGCTGCCAAATGCCTAGAAAACTATCTGCCGGTAAATATTTTTGTATTTATTCATATGGTGTATATAATTGTACGACCTAAATCGAAATGGGTTCTTCAAAGCCTCTTTCTGTATCTATCGATATAGTGGGAGCGTGCACGGACCAGTGATTAATTAGGCGCGTGTCTGGACGCGTTCTCCAATCCGCATCCTCTATTGAAAACCACAAACACCTCGATTCCTCAATCCTTTCAACATACAGAGTTTCCAAAATGGCTCTCCTTGTGGACAAGCTGCGTCCACGCACCCTTGATGCTCTCTCGTATCACCCCGAGCTCTCTGATCGCCTGCGTTCACTGGTAATAAAACCTGAAATTCGGAGCATGAACACCATTTTGACACAAGGTACTCTTCATAGGCACGAAGCGGAGATTTCCCCCATTTACTGGTCTATGGACCCTCGGGCGCTGGCAAAAAAACACGAGTCATTGCGACACTAAAAGAACTGTACGGCCCCGGTGTCGAGAAGATCAAAATCGATGCCAGAGTCTTCCAAACGACGAGCAACCGAAAGCTAGAATTCAACATTGTCTCATCCGTATACCATCTCGAGATTACCCCCGCAGACGTCGGAAACTATGACCGAGTAGTCGTCCAGGAATTGCTCAAAGAGGTTGCACAGACGCAACAGGTGGATCTCGGCGCGAAGCAGCGGTTCAAGGTTGTCGTGATCAACGAAGCTGATCATCTCACCCGCGATGCCCAAGCAGCTCTCAGACGGACTATGGAGAAATACAGTCCTAATCTGCGATTGATTCTCCTAGCCAATAGCACTTCCAACATCATTGCCCCGATTCGTTCTCGTACCCTGCTGGTCAGGGTTGCAGCACCTAGTGAAAGTGACATTTGCTCTGCGCTCCATCTTGCAGGGAAAAAGGAAGGATGGACCGAGTCGGAGGTGCTTAACAAGAGGATTGCAAAAGAAAGTGGGCGCAATCTGCGTCGTGCGCTGCTCATGTTCGAATCGATTTATGCGCAAAAGTGAGTTTCCACTTCGATGCTCATTAAACTAGGTTTTGAAGGCTTACGTTGTTGGAAATCCAGTGAGAAAGTTACGGACAAGACCCTCATCCCACCTCCGGACTGGGAGGCCCTTGTTACCCTAACGGCTGATGAGATTCTGGCTGAACGGTCACCGGCTCGGCTGTTGCATGTTCGCTCACGTCTTTACGACCTTTTGACCCATTGCATCCCACCAACGACTATTTTGAAGGTGTGTATCCATATTTGCAATTAATATGCTCCGGATACTAACTATGGTGCCAGACCTTGACATTCAAGCTCGTTGCACGAGTCGACGATGCATTGAAGCCGGACGTTATCAAGTGGTCTGCCTTCTATGAGCACCGCATCAAACTGGGAAGTGTAAGTCATTACTGATTACCATTTCTATCAATTAAGTGCTAATGGAACATCCGATACAGAAAGTAATCTTCCATCTCGAAGCCTTCGTGGCCAAGTTCATGCGCATCTATGAAAGGTAAGCTTTCCCTGAATAATGTAAAGGAGACATAACTAATAATACATAGCTACCTGATGGGCATGGACTTTTAATTACTCACTACCAACAAACCAACATATGAATGACGATTTGTACACTAAGATGGTTTTCAGTGAGCATGGGATCTAGGAAGTTATGATCTGCTATCAAGCAGAACCACACTTTTCGAAACTCCCAGGTATCCCATTTGTTTTCACTTTTTACGGGCGCATGAAGGCATTTGCCGAGAAGGTTCTTGGCGTTATATCACTTGTCATTGTGTACTATCTTTGAGGTAGTAGAAAGATCTTTGCATACATCAACCTCAATTGAACTCCCAGTCCAGACTCCAACAGTAAAATTACCGTCTGTATTGTAACAATAGCCGAATAAAGGTAGCATATTTTTGATACAATGGTATCAAACCTCGAATGTCTATGTTGTATGTCAGAAATCGTCCTCTTAACATGGATACGTCATCACATATCCGACCCGAGGTCATCCATAAACTAGGCCACCTACTTGTAACATCGGAATAGCTTTCATATGTTTATCAGATCAGGGCTCTCTGCTATATTTCACATCACCGTGTCTATCACTATACCTATATCCCACACAAAACAGCACCAGAATGTCCGACCCCAGACTTATTGATATGGAACCCGGCGGGGAGAGCACTCAGTATGGAAAAGCCATCTTTCACAATTCCTCTTCGCTAATGTGCAGAGTGCAGATATGAGTCGATCCGACAATATACCAAGAGTCCCTCGAAGCAGACTGGGCAATTGGGAGGTGTGTTGCTTCCTTGGAGATATATTTAAGTGCAGCTATAGCAATGACTGACCTCATCCAAGGCGGCGATAAGCACACTAAAACCGAAGCAACCCCCAGCCTAGGAAAACAAAGCACACCATCCAACAATGACGAGGATTTTCAGGCACAGAAGCTGGGTATGGGAGTATTCGCTGACTCTAGTAAAGGTAAATGCTGAATATATTTTCCTTGTCTAAACTCCTAGTATCAAGACAAAGGACCCACCGGAGGAGCCTGTGCCTCGATAGGTCCTAAAGAGACGCAAACAGCTGATGATAATGTACAAAAGATATGACACACGACGAGGAGGATGCCGGGGCCAAGGCCCGCAGACTGCAAGGGTATGGGCCTGGGTCTGGTGTCGGGGCTTAATCGGCAAAAGCAAAGGACATGACCGATGAAACAAAAGGGAAAACGGTATCATGCAGGAAACGACAATTTATTGGGTGGGCTCGGAGCTGGAGGAGGTGCTCTTCGGTGAAGCGTCATTGGTACCAAGGGGCGGGTTTCTGCGGGCACGCTTGAGACTCTCGAGGGTGACACCGTTTCCGAGCTTTGTGATACCGACGACAGGCGGGTCATCCTTGTGGACGAATTCCCAGAGACCTAATGAATGAGAGTGAGCATCTATCGCACCCAAAAATGATAGTACATGTAGAAAATGAAAACCTACCTGGCAATTTGTGGCCCGCCAATCTGAAAGCCTCGCGGGCGACCTTCTCGTGGACATCTCCCTTCAATTCAAAGACGATTCGACTCACAGGCAGTCGGACAGTCCAGTAATCGAACTTACCCTTACCCTTACCCATACGCTGCTCATTACCCTTGGTATAGACACCAACGTTGGCACTGACACGCTTGTACAGCTTATAGTTCATTCCTCGTAGCCGCCGCTTGATAGTCTCTTCGGCGATCTTCAGAGCCGATGCAGGCATGCGGCGGTCGTGGTCTTTCATGCGCAGACCGAAGTCTCCCCACACGACTGTTGTTCCTCGGGTGGATCCGCCAGTAGCGACGTGAGGGCGACCCTTGGGCGATTTGGATTTTTCTTGGAATTTCGGGGTCAGCCAATCGAGGGAGCGTGAGGTGGTCGAGAAGCATCGTGATAAAGAAAAGGTGGCTAGCGGTCCCGACACTGTGTCGCACTGTTAGTCTTCGGTCGAATGAATTTTCTGGGAATTAAATGGCTCGTACGGGTTGGCCGCGTGCAGGCGGAGAGCGGTCCAGCAAACATCTTGATCTGTGGACCCATTGTGACGAGACAGGCGGCGGAGTATACCAATGTTGCGAAAGGCTTCGTTACTCCGGCACTTTTCGATGATTGGCACTAGTCCAAAAATGGGAAGGGTTGCATACACGTGACAGAACTTGTTTCTGCCTGTAGAATCAGGCCGCAATTTCGGTGGCACTTCTCATTCTATAGTAGCTCTAAACAACATCTTATTGACGTGGAAACCATCAGTCTGTACAAAAAAGACAAGTCTGCGTGACAGGGTGTAAGGATAATCTTGCTATTGCCCAAGGCTTCGTAAGTACTCTTTGGTGGCTCCTCGGCATTCTTGAAGGTATTACAGGTAAATAATATCCGAGGAGCTTGGTACATTGTACTCGTATATGGTGTAATCTAGGGGGACAGCGGAAGACCATGATTTTGCGTGGTATTTGGGAGGATAATCGTGGTGATTCCGTATAGGCGGTCTTATAGATGTAATTAGGGCTAGTGCCATAGTACCAACTAGTTTTAGCGCGTAGCTGTTGCGGCATGTCTATTATAAGCCTGGCGGCTTTATCATAGGCAATAATTAATTGATTGCCAAATTTGGACTTTCAATACGCATTGACTTTTATTCATTTTTTGGCTGGCAGTGGTTAAGTATCATACACTCCCACTACCTAGATCTCTGGTAGAACCTGACTTTATTTGAAATGTGAATTTACATTCGACATTTCTACAAGATCTGTTGTAGGTGTATCCCGGCCAGGGATCGGAGCCTATTATAAGCCTGAACATGCATTGTGGAGCGAAAACACAGTCATTTGCTTGGAAAAGACTGGTACTAGTATACACGCCTTCGCGAAGCTGTACAACACACTGCTATATGAAACCTTAAAAACTTAATTTCACAGTTACCTCAGGTACCATAGTGATCATTTGCCCCACAAAGTCCATCTCCCTTCTTTCCCTCTTCTGTTCTCTCAGGACTCTCTTCCCTTTTTATCCTCATAACCTTGAAGATGAATCATATCTCTCAGATTTTCACTGACACTCAGATCGCCCTTTCTAGCTCCACAGCTCTCCGGCTAAACGCGAGTACATGGGTGATCGACGAGAAGCTTTATGAGAATAGAGTCGATAGAGTGCGTAAACCTACTTCTGATCTTAACAAACAACCATCCGGTTAGGAGGCTAAGTATCTATGTCACAATCACCATTTCCCATATAATTAAGCCTTTATGAGAGTCTACTGTCAAGGTCCTAATAAGGGAACAGAATTCCTTCTGCCAGAAGTTCGAGCCCAACAGGCAAATCCTCATTTTAAAAAGCAGGAAGCTAAAGCTCAGAAGAAGTTCAGATAAGGTGGATGCAAAAGTATACCTTCACTACTTAGATATAGCCAATCCGTACAAGGGGAACACAGACCTATACCTAGAGGATATATAACCTACATATCTTATTTGGGAAAAGGTCCGCGGACAGGTCCTCACTCCGGAACTATTCTGGTCATTCGAGCGGCCAAGACGTGATCTCGTTCACCGAAAGTTCCGGGCTGCATATGAGTAAGTGCGGACTTAAGTCCTTGAGATCATAGTAACGCAAAATCAGGGAAATTTCGTCCTTTGGCTGGGGTCTAGTAGGGGAGGATATCACAAAGATTATATAGGACAAAGAATCCGCCGATCTATGGATCTCGGGGTTTCGCAGTTCATATCTAACTGACGAAAAGTGGGAGGATTGCATTCTGGCTTATTACTGCTTGATCAAGCCACCCGCGTCCGGTGCTTGTGAGAACCTTGATGAATGGGAGTGGTGATATAGGTTTCTATTGGTGACAGGGAGAACACCCAGGTGCCGCTTCAGCGGTCCTCGCAGGGAAACTCCCCTCTTTTGAAGACGCGAGTAATAGTTTAGTGTCTTCCAAGATTCTGCTTCGTGATCAATCCAGCTCTTAACGATCTCCCGAATTTACGTTCCCGCGTTTTCAAAGTTCACTTGATACTCCTCCAGTAAGCTGCTTTGTTCTCAGGTATCTTCATTTTCTGCCAGCAGAAGATCAGGCATCTTCAGGCATCTTCAGGCATCTTCAGGCATCTTCGGGTACTAAATTAGTTATTGATCCTAGAGCTGATCTGAGCCTTTGTAGTCGGCCAAGTTTATCTTGTTTAGAAGAGTTTGCAGATCATTCAAATTGTGTACATATAACTACTAGTCTACATGTATAGCTTATATTTGCTAGTCCTAAAATGGAAGAAAGTGCTGCCTTACGTCAGCCAGTCACGTCTCCCGGGGTCTGCGGCGCGTCGTTCGCGATCTACCAACCGATGCGGCAAGAGCTCGATTGGCCTTAATCCATATACTGTTCTATGCCGAAGTCCATGTGACTGATAGAGCCTCATTATGGATATCCGGAATTTCTTTGGCGGTAAGCCAAGTCAAAGCTCCAGCAATGCCCCGGCGAAGCCCGCGGCCAAAAAAGAGGTAAGCTGGTGCCTTGCTCATGAGAGGAGGTCCTGGTCACTTTATATGTGGCCCGGCGCCCTTTGAATCACTCGAAATTATATTCTGACCTCAAATCCGACAATGCAGGACTCCTCCGCCACAAGAAAAAGACGTACGCTCTCCGTAATCCCTATTCTCATGCTACCAGTCTAACGTGAGAGCAGGCAGCAGGAAAGTTGTGGATGACAGTGATGACGAAGAGGATGTAGCACCTGTCAAAATATCCGCTACTAAAGCGAAGCCCAAGAGCCAATCGTATGTCACCGCTTGATTGAAATATCTCATATAATTCACCTGACCAACTCTCTTTGCAGAAAACCCGAAGAACCTAAAGAAGAACCTACAACTTCCTCCGACTATTTTGCCTCCAGCAAGAAGAAGACACGACCTGCTAAAACGACCGAGAAAGCTCAGTCCGATAAAGCCAATACTGTTGCTGAAAGTCCCAAACCTAAGAATACTGCCGAAGCACCTACGAACAAGGGACGAACCACTGCTCGGGGATCAACAAAGCAAGCCACAAAGGTCCTTGAGGATGAGAATCTCGGCGCTGATGACATTTTCGCAACCGAATATGGAAAGGCTGGCAAAGAAGAAGACGCTTATGTGGCTGGAGACGATAGCGACGAGGACGATGACTTCGAAATGCTTGAGGTAAGGCCAGCCGCCGCGGCAGCGAAGAGGACACAGAAGAAGCAATCTTCTCGCGATGAGGAGGATGATGTGGTCATGGAAGATCTCCCCAAGATTCCTGCCCCGAAGGCTCGACCTGGCCGCAAACGCAAGTCGGAAGCTCTCATCGACGAGAGCGATGATGATGACTACCAAGAACCCAAGAAAGAAACAAAAAAGGCAGCTCCAAAAGCCAAGACCGCGGCATCACCAACTGCAAAGAAGCAAAAGGCCAGCCCTAAAAAGGCTAAAAAGGAGGACAAACCAGAGAGCAAGGAGCTCCAAGATATCTTCGACAGCATTCCTACAATCGAAGCTCCAGAACCTCCCAAGGGAGAGCCGAAGAAATTCAAATTCGGAGCGCAACAAAGCCGAGACCCTGTAATGACTGGTACCAAGGAGCTTCCCGTTGGGGAAGAAAACTGCCTTGCGGGTTTGTCATTTGTTTTCACCGGTGTTCTAGACTCCCTCGGTCGCGAAGAGGGTGCGGAATTAGTGAAGAAGTACGGTGGCAAAGTCGTTGGGGCCCCTAGTTCTAAAACGAGCTATGTGGTCCTCGGAGCTGATGCCGGCCCAAAGAAGCTTGAGACCATTGCAAAGCATAAGATCAAGACCATCAACGAGGACGGCCTCTTTGAATTGATTCGACGACTGCCTGCCAACGGCGGTGATGGAAAGGCTGCCGAAAAGTACGCCGAGAAACAGAAAGCCGATGAGGCCAAGGTCCGTGCCATGGCGGCCGAGATTGATGCCGAAGAGATGAAACAAGCAGCAGAAAAACGAAAGACAGCCACGACTTCTCAAGGACCCAAGACCACTGCCACCTCGTCTCAGACGCCAACAAGCTCACAGGTCGTATCATCTAGTGATCTCTGGACTACAAAGTATGCCCCAACATCGACCAGCATGATCTGCGGTAATAAGGGTGCAGTGGAAAAGGTTCAAACCTGGCTGCGGAACTGGCATGCCAATGCCCAGGCCGATTTTAAAAAGGGTGGCAAAGATGGCTCCGGAATATACCGTGCCGTCATCATTCACGGTCCCCCAGGAATAGGTAAAACCACAGCAGCTCATCTCGTGGCCAAGCTAGAAGGATACGATATTGTGGAGACCAACGCCAGTGACACCAGAAGTAAGAAACTTGTGGAGAGTTCTACCCTGGGTGTGCTAGATACAACATCATTGCAGGGATACTTTGCCGGACAAGGCAAGCAGGTTGAGAGTGGAAAGAGAAAACTCGTACTTATCATGGACGAGGTTGATGGCATGTCTGCTGGTGATCGTGGAGGTGTGGGAGCTGTCGCAGCCATTGTCAAAAAAACCAAGATTCCGATCATCCTTATTTGCAATGAGCGAAAGCTTCCCAAGATGAAACCTTTCGACTTTATAACCTATGACGTGCCATTCAGACGCCCGACTGCTGAGCAAATTCGGGCAAGACTATCCACTATCTGTTTCCGAGAAGGTCTCAAGATTCCGCCCCCTGTACTTGATGGCCTCATTGAAGGAACCCATGCCGATATCCGCCAGGTCATCAACATGCTTTCCACCGCAAGACTAGATCAGAAGGGTCTCAATTACGAGGAAGGCAAACAGATGTCAAAGTCGTGGGAGAAACATATTATTCTCAAGCCATGGGACATTGTCAGCAAAATTCTCAGCGCCCAGATGTTTTCCCCGAGTTCCACTTCTACCTTGAACGACAAGGTCGAGCTTTATTTCAACGACCACGAGTTCAGCTACCTGATGCTTCAGGAGAACTACCTCAAAACCAAGCCTGCTCTTGTGGGCAAATATCATGGGAAGGAACAGCGACTGAAGTCGCTTGAATTATTGGACAATGCCGCCTCAAGTATCAGCGACGGTGACCTCGTCGATCGTATGATCCACGGCACCCAGCAGCAGTGGAGTCTTATGCCCACTCACGCGATCTTCAGCTTTGTGCGGCCAGCCAGCTTCCAGTATGGAAACTTCAATGAGCGGCCTGCATTTACCAGCTGGCTGGGCAACAACAGCAAACATGGTATGTCTTGGACATTTACTAATTTTTCTGTATACACACTCTTAACTGATTTCTTCTCTAGGCAAACTGTCTCGATACGTCAAGGAAATACAGGGCCACATGCGCCTTCGTACCACAGGTAACCGCGACGAAATCCGTCAGCAGTACATGCCTCTGCTCCAAGAGAAAATAATCCGTCGAATGATGGACGAAGGCAAGGAATGTGTCGACTCGGTCATTGATCTCATGGATGAATACTATCTCACCCGCGAGGACTTCGACTCCATGGTTGAACTAGGACTCGGCCCAATGGACGAGTCCAAGGTCAAACTTGAGACACAAACCAAAGCCACCTTCACACGTCTGTACAATTCGCGCTCGCATCCTATGCCATTTATGAAGGCCAGCAATGTCATTGCACCCAAGCAGGGAAAGAAGGAGATGCCTGATATTGAGGATGCCATTGAAGCATCCGACGAAGAAGAAGTTGTTGAAGATGTCAAGAATGAGGACGACGAAGTACTTGATCTCAAGAAGGACAAGTATGTGAGTCTACCTAAGAAAAAGAAGGCGCCGGCCAAGGGTAAGAAGACAAAGAAGGCCGATGATGATGAGGAGGAAAAGCCGAAGAAGGCTCGTAAGAGTAGGGCCAAGGCTAAGGATTGAGAGATCAGTTCTGTAACATATCCTTTTGTTTTCTAATGTGCATTTCAATCTGATATCTCTGAGCACATTTAATTTACATTTTCAACGATTTTAGTGGAATCTCAAATGTCATCAGCCCATTGTGGCGAAGTGGTTATGTGGTTATAGTGGTATATATATGTTGTACGTTCCACGAATAAAATTCTTAATATGAATAGCATAGTCACCTGGACCATAATTGATACACCAAGTAAGTGTACAACTGGACATTCCAAAGTTGATATACATACTCCGTACATAGTTGAGAAGTTCATTGATAGTCAGACCCCCTTGGCGGGGAAATGATCTGCGGAGAACACCGAGTTCCCTCTCTTCTTCTAATACACCCTTTCTCTACTTTCTCTACTTTCTCTCCTTTCTTGATATCTTTATCTTTTTCGATCTGTTTTTTTCAGGCTGGTCCTGTATGAGCTAGCCTCATTCGCTTTCATCCGGGCAATCCCCTTACTCCCACCCGAGCATGCGCTTTTAGTTCGAGCTGTGAGATTATCCAGACCTCGGTCACTACTGTGCAGTACAACCCTGGGATACTACAGACATATGCCCCCGCGGAGCTGAGAAGATGTCTCTTCTTCACAATGAAGAGTAAGTCGCGTCTGGAAGTGCAGACCGGCCCTCAAATCGCCGCGGAAACGTCTCCAAGAACTAACTCAAGGTATAGCTTTACAATATGGCAATTACGCTCCTCATATCTCTCGACAATCAAAGATGGAATTGGCGACCGACTTATCAACGTCAATGACTCTGTCCTGAATACGCCTGGCTTCCGCGCGGCGGGCTGGTCAACCGCCGCCGCGTACCCCAACACACACAGCTCCTCCCACCTGAAGCGCACTTACTCTCCACCAATTCCAACCACGGCGAACGTTTCATCCGAATATTACAGGCTAGCAGAACGAAATGCAAAACCCCAACGCCACGAATTGCAAGGCCTCGGCCTGGAAGACGGCGAGGATGATGGTGGCATGGTGACCGGTAGTAAGAGCCATATGGACATGACCGCGCGCCGGAATCATGCACGCGGTGGGAAGAAGAAGTCTCGTCGTGAAAGGCAACAAGAAGTTCAGAGACAAGTGGAAGCAGAGGACGACGATAGCAGCGATTTAAGTGATGACAGCGAAGACGATGGGGACAACGTTGGCAGGTTAGTGAATTATTGTGTGGTATTCTATTTCCCTATCTAACCGAGAACAGTGCTGTTGATCAGATCAGATTCGACAAGATGCCCATCCGCCGAGATCGAGCCGACTCCTCTCCGTTGCGTTCTGGAGACCAGAGGGAACGACCAGAAGTGATGGTTACATCTGCATCAACACAAAACGTTGCAACTCAATATCGCCAATTAAAACCACGCCCCCGTCGAGATACGACCACTAGTAGTGATCTATCGACGGATAACGAAGCTGATCAAAGAAGCTACAAGCAAGGACAAGTTCAATTCTCCGGGAGTGACCAGGTCGTCGAGTATCCGCGTAGACGGCGTGAGCGAACTGGCAGTCGAGGTGCAGAGAGCCTGGCCCTTGGAGAACTCCACGAGGTGGACGAGGACGAGGACTCCGGTGCCGAATCTGTTGAATCTGCAATCTCATCTGACTTTGACAATACAGCTGGATCTGGCTCCTTACTTCTGGCCGGCGTGACGGGCGGTTTGAATTTGTCCTCGCCCATGGCCATGATGAACAAGTTACCCTCTGGCACAGGGCCGCAGAATAATTCACCGCGCAAGCATCGCACACCGGCTCCTGCATTGCAAGATCTTCCCCCGCCACGGCCGATCAGCATGATACAGCCAGTCAGCTTATTGACCAGCCAGCTCACATCCCGGAAGCGAGCACCAAGCAATCCAGTGGACAAATTCGTGGTTCTCTCTGGGCGAGGTCAAGAGGACCCGTTGTATTTGAAGATCTACGTTCCCTTTTCAAGCGACCCTGAAGAACCCCTGGATTTGCCACTTACACGCGAGTCTAAACTTGCAGAGCAGCCTGCACAAGTTACTGTTGCTGAGACAATTGGTCTTGCCCTGTGGAAATACTCGGCGGACGCTCGTGGCCCACCAATTGATCGTGCCCATTTGAACGTGAACCGATGGACGCTACGGATGGTTGATGATGGCGAAGTCGAATATGACTTCCCGGCGCTTGGGCGGACACTTCCGATGACGGATTTCACGTCAAACAACAACCAATCTGCCAAGTCCCGAGGACGGTCAAGAGGCAAGCCGTACGATGAATTCGCACTGGTTGAAGCATCAGATTCGGAGTTTGAGGAGAATGAACGGCTATATCCACAGTTTAGTTCAAGCGTGGGGTCGGAAGAGGCCGATCAGCCGGCGAATCTTGCAGCACCAGGGGCTCAACCCGCTGCACTGAAAAAGACCCCTCAGACCACACCGGTCCGAGCAAATCCCATCCTAGGCCAGCCATTCTCGTCTGCGCTCAACCACAGCACTCTCACTCCTGCTGACCGCCCCGCGGTACCTATCTCGCATGCCACCCCCCGTCTTGGTGTTTCTAAGACATTGAAGATTCGCTTCATCAACATGGAGGCTTCAGCACATGTCATGACCATCAACACATCTACCGACAGCTATATAGCCGAGATCCTGGACTCTGTATGTAAACGATGGGGCCAGGATAAGGGTAACTACCTCTTGAAGGTGATGGGGTCGAACACTATTGCACCACTTGACCGCACAGTGGAGGCATTGGGCAGCATCACCGACCTTGATCTGGTGCGTCGTCGCTTCGGTGGCGGCCCCCTCGCACTGGGAACCTCACCAGGCAGCTCATCACCGAACGCGCCTTTGATGGTGGAAACCGCCGACCAGACAACATCCAAGAAGAGCAAGAAGGAGTCCAAGAAGGGTGCCCAGCGCATGTTGCCTTCCTCTTCCCAAAAACAAGACCACCTAGGCGGATATTACCGCCGATACCACGTGTTCCGCAAACAACCCATGTCCTTCACAGCATCCAATCATCGCATCCTCACATTTGAAAATGATTATATGCATATCGTGCCCGGTGATACGGGCAAAACGGCGTCTGGTGGTAAGACCCGTTCGATCAGCTTCAGTGACGTGATCGGATCTAAGGTTAGTCGACGACATCCCAAGAGCTTCCGGGTGATGATCGTGCGCGGCAATGATGCCACGGAGCAGAAGCGTTATGACTTTGAGGCAAGGAGTACCAATGAGGCTGTGGAGATTGTGGATGAGATCAAGAAGAACATGGCACATTATCGCATTTGATTAACTGCTCTTTTGAGCGTGGAATTTCGTTTGGGGGGCCTGGAGTTTAGGATGGCGTACATAGTCATTGCCTTATATCATCTCGAATCAAATGAATCAGATTCTTGAACTACGCCAAGGATAGAGGTTAACTTATGTCCCAATATATGTCACTACAAGGCCGTAGAAGTCAACCCGGGATTTCCTCAGTCGAACCACCCCATATACGCTCTCTTCCATAAAGGGCCATCAGAAAGAACCAAAATCTCCCTGAAGAATTCCACAAACCCTACCTCTTTTTGTTTAGAAGACAATGAACTCTCACCTTGATTCTCTTTCCTGTTCCTTTTATCTTTCTTCGTTCATATTTTTTCTCCTCGTCGTAAAGAAGTTCAACAGTATACTTTGGCAAACCCTTTTCCACTTAGCCTTCTAGGAGCCTGATCTACTAGTATGCTTCCCATCTATCGTCATCTATCACTTTAACCTGATGTGTGATTTGAAGCTTATATCAAGCGATGATATGATCGACTAGTATACCGTAACGATTATATATTTCCATCAAACGTTGGCTCGGCTGAAAGGAAACAACAAGCTCGCACCTTAGCACTAAATAATCTCCAACGTTTTAATATGACAATCGTGCGACGACCACCCATTTCCAAAATAACTAAGCCTGCACGGTTGTCAACACTGTCTCCTCAGGTCTTAGCCTCTTCCAACAATGACACCATGCATACCATCTACACAATGTGCTCGTCCTGAAATCCTGAAACCTAGGAACACCGTCATAATTTTCCCCCAAAGTCAGCAAAGAAGCTACTTATAAAGCTGACAAGGACAAGTCATGACTACTTGGTTTGAAGATATCCTACACAACCGCATACCATCCTTAGCCCAGCGGCCAATTCGAAAGAATAGAACAATACTCGAAGTCGCTTTACGACATTGGTGGGCAACAAGGATTATGATGAGGCAGGCCTTGGGCATAGAACAAAACTTCACTGCCTGCTTAGACGTCGAGGACCGCATAGCGTATGCATCCTGGCTATGAAGCATTCCTATGACAAAAACACACGCCCGGAAATGGTTCAATCCACGGGACTTCGTTTATCTTGAAGGAGACCTACTCAATTCAGCGATTATTCGAGCATGCTGGGCGACTTGGTCCACAGAGATCAAGATGGAGCGTCGATGATCGTCTAGATCTATTCTATATATATCTTTTTAGGGGATTTGCTTCTTATATCTCTTTTTTTTAGTCATTTCAGATGTCCTTCCAGATTTCTTCCAGTCTCCTTTGGGTATTCGTGGAGCTTGACAGTCTAGATTCTGACCCACTCTATGGCCTCAGATATTTTGAGAACTTCTGTATTCCAATATGATCTTTCACATCAAAGATGGTAAACGTCTGATTCCTTTTGCAATGTAAAAGGAAAGCGGACTGTTTGTCCCACCGCATTTGCATAAATCTGGCAGAACTCTGTGGAGATAAGATGACTAAGACCCCTTATCTCCGGGCGCGCTTTTCCAGATTAGCTCAATCATCTTTTTGATACTTTGTTTGACCTCAACAACATGACCCTTAACAACTTCACACAATGAGACCCGCCCATTAAATCTGTGCTACCATCTGACATTTCTTCAACAATGACATCAAAACCCACATCAGCTAAGGTGCCTGGGGCATCCCACCCCTCAGAACACTCACCAACCAACAAACTTGATAACCCCCCTCATAAAGAGCACGGCCACTCAAGGCGTAGCCGAGAATTCCGGTTCAAAGATGGCAGCCGCCCCCACCGCAAACGAACCCACCGTCACCGATCACGCACTCGCGACAGTGACAGCTCCAAGCGGCGGCGTCGCGAGCAGGAACAACCAGAGCCCGCACCCGAAACCCCTTTCAATTCGACTAGAGACACCTTCCGGGAATCTCTCTTCGATGCGCTCGGCGACGACGAAGGAGCTGCGTACTGGGAATCCGTCTACGGCCAGCCTATCCATAACTACCGCGTACCGGAGGTACAGCGGGGTCCGGAGGGCGAACTGGAGCAGATGACGGAGGAAGAGTACGTGGACTACGTGCGCCAGCGAATGTGGGAACGGACGCGAGAAGGCATGCTCGCAGAGCAGGAGCGGCTACGTGCTGAGCGGATGCAGAAAAAGAAGGAGGAAGCTCAGAGACAGGCGCAGTCGGGGAGGGAGGAGTTTGAGCGCGCGATGGACGAGAGTCTGCGGCGAGGGGCTGAGCGAAAAAGGGCTAAGGTCGGGTGGAGTGCGCCCTGGGCTGCTTATCTCGAGAGTTGGGAGACTATCGGGAAGGCTGCGGAGGGGTCTGCTCCTAAGCCCCTGCGCAGTCTGCTCTTCTGGCCTGTTCGCTCTGGGAAGAGGGCTGATGTCCGGCCTCAGGCTGTTGAGGAGTTCATGCGTCATGCCCCGGCCCCGGCGGAGTTACTTAGCACGCTCAAGGCGGAGCGGATTCGCTGGCATCCTGATAAGATCCAGCATCGGTATGGTGCGCTGGGGATTGATGATGTGGTCATGCGCAGCGTCACGGAGGTCTTTCAGATTGTGGACCGTATGTGGAATGAGGAGAGGGAGCGACAGAAGTGATGGGGGAGACGGAGGCGAATGGCCAGTGGAGCTGATCAAACTTGGCGAAAATCATGGTATAGCTATGATGAGAAAGTTCTTCTGGGAAATACTGAGGTTCATGGTACTGGGAAATTACCAAAAGGTGGGAGTCTACATTGGGCGGCGTCTTGATTATTTATTTACTATCGATACCCCGAGCATCACGCTGCATATCACAATTTTGAATGATCATGACTTTAATTCATTTCAAGAACGAAGAGGGAAAAAAATAACAAGAGCTGATGCGGGAGGTGAACGTAGATCAGAGTAAAAAAAAAAGAGCTTCAGAGGGGCTATGTATGCAAGATCTGTTTCGTCAGATAGAAACTGGGCAAACCCAAAGACCAACTTGAATCACACAGAAGAAAGGTTTAAGATCTGTGCTTTGCCAAATGTCCATACAACGTAAATTTAGAAACGCGATGACCGGGCCTTGGTCCGGTAGATCGTCCAGCCAAAGTAACCAGCGACAATAACAGCGAAGAACAGCACGGTCTTGAAGAGGAACCAAGTCCAGCTACTCTTCTCCTTGGGCTCCTTGATAGGCTTGGCTGAGGAGCGACCACGGCCCTTAGACCGGTCTTCCGTGGTCTTGCCTTTGTTAGCATTGCTGCGGTTAAGGGAGTATAGGTTCTCAGCCTTGAGAGAGATGATGTCGTGGTTGTCGCTCAGCTCGCCAGTCTCGGCGGAGAGACCCAAGTATGCGACGGAGGGGATGGCGATGTTAGAATCCTCAGCGGAAAGACTGAAGCATTCGGTCCAAGTATCTTCGCTCTTGTACTGCAGCTCCAGAGACAGGGACTTGTCCTGGAAGTAGGTAAGGCGGGCTTTGGTGGGAACAGGGGCGCTACGAAGACCACGAGCCTGTAAACAGTTAGAAACATATCCAACGCAGCTGCGAATCAAGGTTAACTCACAGAGCAACCGGCAAGCTCATTCGCCTTGCCATCATGCGCTTGGTCGTAGGTGGTCTGCCCATCGCCCATCATGGCCATGACGTAGGGGAACGACACACCGGGGCGGTTGTTCTTGTAGGTGTCGAAGAAGATACCGAGACCCTCGAATTTGTCCGTGGAACCGAAGACAGGGCCTTGGGTGGCGCGCTCCTTGGTGAGCCAGAGCGCAAATCCATCACCATGCAAGTTTCCGGAGCCGTGGATTTCGAACTCGAGCTCAATCTAGCGGGGGGTATGAGTGTTTGGCGTAAATTATGATTCGCAGGGACCGTGTATTTACCTGCCAATTGGTTGCGGTCAGAGGCACGCGGGAAGAGATCCATCCTTGCTGCGATGGCCGGTCAGCCGTGAGGCGGACATATCTGAAAACAAGACGAAAATCAGCACTGTTGAGACAAATTCCAGCTGAATGTCCGGAGCATCCTTACTTGTCAGCCCGGACTACTGTATCTCCTCCGAAGTCGAACCAGCGGCTTTGGAAATCCGAATCGAGGTATGGCTGTTGATGGCGGTTAATACTGATATTCCTCCTCGGGGGGCGAGCTATGCACAGCTTGTTTTCGGAATTCGCCGACAAGCTGGGCTCAGGCTATAATCATACCGGAGCGAGACTGTGGGTGCGAAGCTAACAGACATCCTAAGTCAGTACCTCGGCTTGAAACGGAGTCAACATGTTGAGCACATACGGGGATGCTTTTGATATTTGGATCGTCGTAGGCATTCACGGGTAGGGTGACTAGGCCCGCAAGGCAGAGAAGGGAGGAAATAGACGGAAGACGCATTGTGGAATTGTATTAGGGCTCAATGGAGGGGAGCCCAGGGTGTTTCAAAGATAGACTGGAGGTGGGATGGACAGGGTACGGTGTCACCAGGACCCGAAAACCCAGCAAGTACGAAAGAGAAAAAGAGGCCGTAAAAAATGTCGAGGAAAGGCGACAAGAAGGAGTGGATAGGCGAAGTTCCTGAGGCGCGGAGACGAGGAGGTGAAGTATACAGCTTGTTATGCTAAGGTGTCCACATCTAATGTGGCGCAGTGAAATCACCAGCCACAACCCTGTACCTCAGATCCTGAAGTCCGACTTTCTTCAATCCAATTCAACCCATTTCAATACACCTTTCCCACCCAATCCTACTCTTTTATAATGTCGTCGCTTTTCGGTTCCGGCTCCGCCGCTCCCATTCAGACCTCCGAGGAGATCAAGGCAGCTGTCATGCGCCAGCTCCAGCAGGAGGCCGCCATGTCTAATGCCCGCTCCCTGATCGGAGTACGTCACCACCCTTAATATCCAAATCCGGCAACAAACTGACAACCCCAGAAAATCAACAAGCACTGCTTCAAGGCTTGCGTTCCCGCCCCCGGTACCTCGCTCTCGGCCAAGGAGAACACCTGCCTGTCTAGCTGCATGGAGAAGTACATCGCCATGTGGAACCTCACAAGCAAGACCTACATCGCCCGTGTCGGCGTGGAGACCAAGCGTCTCGGTGGTCAGGATGCTGCTGCCATTGCCTCCATGGCTACCGGCATGCCCGAGGGCGGCAGTGGAATCCTTGGTTAAATTCGACCCATTCCCGAATCAGATGAAAAGCAAGGAAAATGAAGGACGAAAACAAGCGAAAGAGACACACACCTCTGTGAATGAACTATTGTACGATAGAAGCGGCCTGGTAGCCCGTGTATAATATGGGCGTGGCTTTTTGTGCCCCAGTGGTTGGAGAGATTGGGAATAGAACAGGGTTCATGGCGAATCCATTTGTATACATCGAGCAGGCGATTGAAAGAAAAAAAAAACACAAAAATTCGATTGTAATTGCTAAGAAAAAATGATGTGCATATAGAAAGTATAGATTTTCATATAATGGCTCCTGGTTTTTCACGACTCCTCCCGGGGTCAATCAGTTCCGGCCCTCCCCCAGAGGACTTTTCGTCGCGTCATAAAATCATACAAGCACCTTAGAAATCGGGGAAAAGGTGACCATACCTAGAACGAGTTAGTCAAGTGTGTGAGCATGGAAAGAAGTACATACGCATCGTCTCCTTCCTGGCCATAGTGCTCTGTCTCCTCCGGATACTTGTCGTATTGGCTTGCATCGCCTTGGCCGCCGCGAATGGGCGGGATATATGGCGCATCAATATCCTTACGAGCTAGTCGGTCCCAAGTGACCTCGGCGAACCAGGCATGGTTCTTGACATCACTTGGGCCACCGTGCAAGTTACCAAGGCGCTTGGTGAGGTCTGCTGTGATCAGCTGAGAGAGTAGATCAACCGCATCGGCGTGCAAGTATGGAGGATACTTGACTTTGCCGCGCAGGATATTCTCGTAGATCTTGACTGGAGATCCACTATCCCAGAAGGGCGTGAATCCACACAGCATTTCAAAGATTAAGATTCCCAGTGACCACCTTGGGACAGTCAGAACTATTCAACGAAAGAATTGAAAGGAAGCTTACCAGTCAACTGATTTGTTGTATCCCTTGGAAGAGACAACCTCCGGTGCTAGATAGTCGGGAGTACCACAAAGTGTCCACGTAATATCCGGCACATCCTTAGCAAATCCAAAATCTGTGATCTTCAGATGACCATGACGGTCCAACAAAAGGTTCTCTGGCTTCAAATCACGATAGATGATCTGATGTGAGTGCAAATACTCCAGCGCCAGAGTAACCTCCGCAGCATAGAATTTGGCCACAGGGTTCGGGAATCGCTAATGACGAATGAGTTGTTTTGCTTTCACACACAAGAGTGAAGGAATTGGTAAATCACTCACTTGTGACTTGCGCAAAAGACTGAACAATTCACCTCCCTCCACAAAGTCCATGACCATATAGAGGTTCCGGGAATCCTGCCAAGTTCCCCACAATGTAACGAGGAATGGATGACGGACACGGTTTAACATACGGCGCTCGTCATTGGTGTGTTCGATTTGCTTCATCTTGACCACCTGGGCCTTCTTCAACACCTTCATTGCATAGAAGCGATGATTGTGGTTCGACTGCACCAGGTGCACACGGCCGAAGCTCCCCGTTCCCAAGGTGCGCTGAAGCTCGAAGTCTTCCTGAGAGTACTTCCCCTTAGTAACACGCTCCTGTTTCACCTGCGGCTCCTGGTTTATAATATTGTCGATACTGGCGGCATTGTCGTGTGTACCGGTACCCGTGTTCTGGGGCGAAGCGTGCGAAGCTTGCATGGATGCGCCTGAACCGTCGTGGTTCTCAGAATCTGGTTTCCCTAGATCTTGCGAATCCTTCGTTCGCCTCTTCTTCAGTAAACCTCCTAAACTCGGCATGGGAAGATTAGACAGGCTTTGGGGCCATTTGGGGGAGGAAGAAAGCTGGAATGGGAGGTCCGGATTAAGTGGGGAGGGGCAGCGGCCAGAATGACGCATTGATCTTTCATTATGGACTTTTTTTTCTACATTCACTCTTTTTTTTATATTGCATTGACCTCAGAGCTATTTAATTAGATCTTTTATTTGATCTATTAGTTTGATTTGATCTTAGATTCTATATGTATTCATCTGAATATCTGTTAAAGTGGCTTATAATTTCCATTATTTCCCTATATCACATTTCTACTATCTATATCCCTAGCCTATATAGTTCCTACAACATAGAGAATACTATGAAATCACTCAATCAATTCGAGTATGTCTTTCACATAAAACACAATATGTATGATCCTAATAAATCTCCAAGCGGAGATCCCGGACCCGATGACGTTACAAAGTGATGCGATCATCCCTGCGGTTTCACTGTAAAGAATGACATCTGGAGCTTTAGCTTGTTTAATTTCGGACATTTTTCTCTTTGGCCCATTCCATCCCGTCTAGTCCACTCTGTAATGTTCTTTTTTTTCGATCTTCCCCCGCCATATCTCGATCTGGATCGTATGCTTATGTAATACATATTGATGCCTGACACATCAGGTGTCAGACAACCTACAACTTCCAATCTCTAAAAAATCCAAAGCAAAACAACAACCCCAACATAAACTCTCCCACCATGGTGCTAGTAGGCTACTCTGATTCTGAAGGCTCAGATGCTGAGCCAGATACTACACCCGCACCCCAGATCACCAAGCCGAAGAAGTTCGACTCGAAACCTAAGTTGGTTGATCCCAACAACTCGCGCAAGATCCGTATCGCGATTCCAGAAATCAAACCCGAACACCCATCCGGCGAAGACACTGAAGATGGTCCGCGCAAAAAGGCTCGGCTAGGTGGAGGAGGCTTTTCAGGATTCAACTCTTTCCTTCCAGCACCGAAACGAACAGCTGAGAAAAAGGCACCAGTGGCGACAACACGAAAAGCGTTTAGTCTCAAAACAGGAGCAGGCCCTGGATTTGATCGCTCAGCTGATGCCGAGATGAGGAATGATTATGCATTTGAAAATATAGCGGGAGATGCGGAGACCACTTCTGCACCTAGCAGCTCAAAAACCGACATATCAACTACACCAGCGGAGACAATGAAAGATCCGGTGGAGGTCAAGTTGCAAGGAAATCCGATGATGTTCAGACCGTTATCCGTCGGACGACCTCAAAAGAAGAAAAAGACCACCAAGATTGCTGAACAACCAACACCTTCACCAGCAGCGCCAAAGCCTACCCAGCCTCTACAGCAAGCCCCTCCACCTGCATCTGCGCCTGCACCTGCACCTGCACCTGCGCCACCGAAACCCAAAGTCAGTCTCTTCTCTCTATCATCGGAGGAGGCCACTTCTCAGCCAGGCCCGGCACCTGGACCTTCAACCTACCAGCCGCTGGTGTACAACGCCGAAGGCGAAGAAGCACTAGCAGCTGGTCCAGCACTCGCCGAGCCTACACAAATTCCCATCGACCATTCCACAACCACAGTATCAACCAATCCTACGTCATCCTTGGATAGCATCGCCAACGATTTGAACTTGTCCAAGGCCGAAAGACGCCAACTCTTCGGTCGGAACGCCAATGTCACCTCATCGCAGTCACAGGTGCGTACCTTCAACACAGACGAAGAGTACGCGTCGAACAAGGTCCTGGCGGAAGGCGAGCTCGCCGGAGCACAGCACCAACCCGTGCGCGCTATTGCGCCAGGCAAACATACCCTTCAGCAATTGCTCAATGTTGCAAGTTCACAGAAGGAGGCACTGGAGGAGAGCTTTGCAACGGGTCGGAGGAACAAGAAGGAAGCAGGATCCAAGTACGGATGGTAATTTTAGCATACTTAGGACCATTCGGAGGGAAATTTTGTCGCATTAGCATTGAGATACCATACCATTTTGTACGAACTAACATCCGGGAATTTGAATAAAATGAAAAATGTACATTCAACTGATATGTATCACCTGTATAACTTCTATCATGTACAAAATAAAATCATCCCAAACGCCGTCAAATGTAACAAACAATAACTCCAAATGTTCCAACTCCTTTTATTTTTTGGAGTATCAAGACGACACATCCACAACTTCAGCGAACCACTGCTTGAGTGCAGTAGCCAAAACAGAGGGCAACTCCCTGACATCGCGAACAACGAGGTAATAAGGGAAGGGGAAGTCTTCGAGGTAACGCTTCATCTTGAGCTTCATCTCACCACCAGAGTTAGGATCAGCCTCGAAGCTAGCCTGCGAGAGATCAAGGATAGAGCTACCCTTGACAGCATCAACGATAATAAAGACAACCATGATGCGCTCCTCAAGCGCCTGTCTAACGAGACGGCGAATAGTATCATGATCTTCACAGATACCATCAGAGATAATCAGCTGAAGCTGCCAGAGATCAGCAGAGCCAGATCCAGGCGAGCGCTTCCAGCGGGCCTCGCGGAAGAGAGCAATAGAGTCGGCGATCAGCTTGCGCACATTGGTACCAGTTTGCTGGTAGCTGAAGTGCTGGAAGACCTGGGAGCCGGCCTCGGATGAGAAGGGCTTGCCGAACTCGTGGGCGACGCGAACATGTTCTTCGTTACCGAAACCGAGGACGCACAGGTCACCGGCTTCCAGCATGCTTAGACTCTTCGCAACAAGTGCGAGGGTCTCGAAGGCGAGCTGGCCACTGCCGCTTTCCAACATGGATTTACTGTCATCGACAGCCAACATGATCTGGTAGTTGCGCTTTGAGGGAATAGAGCGGCGCATCCAGATCTTATCGCGCTTGTATTGGGATGCGATGTAGGGGATGATACGCTTGATGTTCAGCCGCTTTCCGGTGCGGAAGTCACCACGGAGCTTGGTGGCCATTGTGGGGGCGAGGATGAGGCGGAGCTGTTCGGTCAGGGAGAGAGAGAGATCATTTGTAGCTGACTCGTAGTGCGACCAGAGGCGGCGGGCTTCGTCTTGTGGGGTCAATGGAGGGAGCGAAGAAGAGAGGTGGATGGCTGCGAGTTGCGAGTCGACTTCATCGAGCTCCTCATCTATTTCTTCGGTGCCCTGTGCTCCATCTGCGCGATCGTGGGATGATTTACCGCTAGGAATGAAGGCGCCAGCGGACTCGCCATCGGCGGGAACGGTCTCGCGGTCGATTTGCATTTCATCCTCAAGCTGGTTGTCCACGGCATCTTGCTGCTCGTCCGAGACCTCTGGAAGAACATCGTTCTCACCAGGCTTGATGTCGGACTCGACACCCTTGCTTTGGTCGAGGGCTTGCGTTTGATCGTCGTTTGCTTGTCCAAGGGCCTGGGTGTCTGCGGCATCATCTTCATCCTTTAGGTGCTCGAAGTCGGCGTCGGCCATATCGGTGTCTTCGGGCATCGCCTGGGAATCCTCTTCCTCTTGGGACGGATTGAGGATCTCTTTTTGTCGGCGATGCCATTGCTCGAGGATATCACCGAGTTTCTTGAATGCCTGCATCTGAGGCTCATCTGGCCCGTGGTCTTCGCCTCCAGCAGCGTCTCGGCTGGGCTGGCTCTCCTCGCTGTCCTTGGCAGCACCAGTCTGCTGGTCGACATTGGCAGTGGGATCAGTCGAGCCACTCTCCTGCTGGGCGTCACCCGAGGCACCCTTTTCTTCATTCTGGTCTTGCTCGGCTCCGAGACCACCAGTGACAGCTTCACTGGGAGCGACGTTGTCGCCTGCGGCATCATTCTCATCACGCTGTGCGAGGAAGTCGTCTTGCTCAGGCTCCTCGGGATCTTCGCCGCCAGCTTCCTCTTCCTCCTCATCTCCGGCTTCGCCTTCGTTGGTTTCCTCGGCATCATCAGCCATTTCTTCATCTTGCTCACCTGGCTCTTGATCCTCGGGGGCTGCCTCGGCGTCTTCTTCGCCAGCATTATCATCGGCGTCTTCGACCTTCCCTTCTTCTTCAGGGGCAGGGCCAAAATCATCGTCGAGTTCATCCATATCATCGTCATCCTCGCCATTGTCGTCCTTGCCTTCACCATCATCGAGTTGCATTTCCTCGGGAAGTTCAAGTGTTTCCTCTTCCTTCGCTTGAGGATCGGTGACATCCATTTCCTCGCGGCCAACAGCCTCACCCTCATCTTCGGGGGCCTCTTCGTCTTCTGTTTCTTCCTCTTCCTCGTCCTCTCCTTCCTTTTGCTTTTCTTCGCCCTTTTCACCATCCTTGTCCTCCTTCTTCTCTTCCTGAGCAGCAGCTTGTTGCTCGGCCTCTGATTGGCCCTTTCCTTCTTCGTTCTCAGTATCCTTCTGCTGCTCATCATTACCACCATCCCAGAGCTTTTCGTCTACAGCACCTGGGTCAAGGTCATCAACGCTTCCTGTCTCTTCGTCGATATCATCATCTCCTTCGTCGCCACTGTCGTCGTTCTCCTCTTCTTCGTCTTTGCGATCCTCAGCATCGCCTTCCAACTCTTCCTGGTCCATGTTGACAGCATCCTTGGAATCATCCATCTCATCATCACCGTCCTCTTTCTTGTTCTCTTGTTGCGCTAACTCAGTTAGATCTTCGTCGTCTCCGACATCCTTGCTGATGTCTTCCGCGCCTTCGCCTTCACCGAGACCCGTTCCACTTTCCATCTGACCCTCCTTGCCTTGGTCTTGAGATGCTTCGGCAGGACTGCAGAAGCCTTCGGAGGCAACCTGTTTGAAGGTCTTGGTTAGGATGTAAGATGTCTTACAGATCTCGCGATGAACGGCGATGAACCGATCAGCCAAATCCCGGCAGATTTGATAGTATCTGTTGGCGATGGGCAAGATACTGGTGATCAGTGCGGCCGCAACGTAAAGGCTGCCAGCAGAGTGGTCTTGCAAGCAGTGCAATTGATCAAGGACCTTCTCCAGGGCGGTGGTAATTTCAGTGAGATGGACAGCCTTAATACCGCGAGAGAAGAACTCATCACTCCTCGACAGCAATCCATCAAAGGTGATGGCAGAAGGCACATCCTTGAGCTTCTGGAGGCCGATGAGCATCTTGTCAACGGCCGTCAGGAGGCTACTATCGAAGGCTTGGATGGATAGGCTGTTCTCATCGTTGACCTCAGGGAGAGCAGCAATGCTTGTGTTGACCCAAGGTGTGATCTGATCTAGAGCGAAAGAGAGATCAGGGCGAGCTTGGCTCCATTGCTTCAAGTCAGCAGCCAATTCGTCGAGCGATGATTGCGCCTGCTGCGCGATCTCGTAGTTTGCGTTAGACACAATCCCAGTAGGAAGCATGGGAAGGGCTTCATGCGACTTGCGTAGGCTATCGAAAGATGCCTTCTTGGCGCGGAGCTGTTCCACAATCTTAGATGCATCAATTCCGGAGAACTTAGAATGCACTCCAATGATCATTGCAGCCAGTCCAAGAATAGGAGCCAGCCAAGCGACGATCCTGGCCAGATTAGTGCGCTCTTCCGAGGCAGAAGCACGGTCTTGCGACAGAGAGTTTGAAGCCGCTGCCCAAAGGTTCTGCACCTTGTCAAGCGTAGACTTCAACTTGCCCAAGCCTGTGAGGGCAGGCGAAATGACACCTCTCTGGCGACGGACAGTGAAAACGAGATGCTCAATAGATCCCATGCTTCTGTGAACCTCGACATTGCTTAGCTCCTCGGAATAGTTGCGAGATGCCAGGCGGGTCTTGGGCAGGAGATCCAAAAGTCTGTGGAAGTACCAGTCGGCGCTCTGAACAGCGGTTGAGGTTGCAGCGCCAGCCTCAAAGGCGGCACTGGTGGCGAGAACCTGCGGAACTGTTTCTTGAGTTTCAATCACACTCGATCCAGCGTTACGTTTCACACCCATCTCATACAGTTGCTTGAGGGTCTCAGCATAGAGGCGGCGCTTCTGGGACTTGAGGTGCTGGACGTCTTCCTTGTTGTCTTCGTTCAGGACCTTAGGTGTCTTGGACTTGTACTCATTCATGCTTTCAATCACCGAGACAATGAAGCTGTCGAGATCTTTTGCAATGTCGAACTCGGCTGGAATGGATGAATACAGATTCATCATGTTGTTGGCTGTTCCGTCCGGCTTCTGGAATCTGAGCGCTCGACTGGACCACAGGCCCTTGTCATTTTGACAAATGGCCATTGCCTCAGGGAATGTAGCAGTCGGGCGGACTGGCTCTGACTGGGACATAGAAGTGATCTCCTCGTTGCTTTCCGGAAGGCCTGATTCAAGGATTGATTGAACTGGTTGGCCAAGGGCCGCGCGGTACTTTCGAACCAGCTTGAATAGCTTGACGTGCGACCGTCTAGCGCTTTCCTTCAAAGCCACAATGTTGACATCTTTCCAACTCGCAAGTTGGATCTGCTCCTTGATATCCTTCTCAAGAGCGGACCGCTTCTCTGTCAGATACTTGTCCACTCCAGGCTGGAAGGGTCCGTAGTGGTGGAGGAAGTTGTCCAAGGCAGAGACAAGCTTCTTAAGGCTGGGATAATCCGTAGTGAAAACTTGAAGCAGTGCCTTGAAGTTGTCAACAAGCTGTAGACGGCGAGCAAACTGGCCCGTAGTCGTAGACTTGAAGAATTGCTCCAGAGTCAAAACCAAACTCTGAGTGTGCTCGGTCATATCCTGTTCGCCTGCCTCGACCATCATGATGGGAGCACCGATAAGTGCTTCGTAGGCGATAAACCACCAAGCACTCACCTCGTCCTCGCATCGCTCTTTCTCAATATCCAAGAGCTTGGCCCAAGTTGACAGCTCAAGGCGGCGCCAGCTAATGAGAGTGCTTGTAATCTGATCGTAGACAGTAACAGCCGAGTATTCTCTGCTGGCCACGGTTTGCCACTCATGCACGAATGAATGAAGCTTTTCAACCTTGGTCATAAACTTGGCAACAGGCTCAG